ATGGCAAGGAAATGGAATACTGTTTAATATTTGGCCTCTTTTCCCTGACTGACCCACATGAACCAGTATGGAGGACAAGTATGGAGAGTAGAGAGGACAGCTTCTCGAGTTTTTCTCAACAAGGGAAGGGCTTCACATTAACTGTGGTGTATTCTAGAAGAGGTTGGAAAGTAGAAAGAGAAGAAAATAACCAATGGAACAGGGTGTTCATGCTGGTGAAGAGATCGAGATGAAAAGCCCTGGTGGAGGGATGACCTTTTGCAGAGCCTGGAAGAAAAGAGGTGAAGATAGACCTGGCTGTCGAGATCTTTGTTATGTCTGGATTTAAAGCTGAGAATGTTCCTGTCTCATCCCTTCAGTTTTCACTTCAAGCCAGGCAGGGCCATCTTCTAAGAGATGTGGGAGGTGTGGGAGGGATAGGTTTGGGGTCAGAGGAGAGTTGGTGTTTGGGGCATCAGTTGTGGAAGTGGGGAAAGGCACTGACTGACAGGTAAAAGTTCCCTGGTAGCAGTGAGGATCCAGCTGTGGTTGGCTGAATACTATGAATGTGTACTTTTATCGGTGGGCCTGGATGTGTTAATTCTCCATCAGTATGGAACAACCTAGATATAGAAGGAAAAGAACAAAGACGGCTGGAAAGTGTCAAACATTAAAGTGTATAGAGCGATGTATAGAAGGACCAAAATACAAAGATTTGGAGGGTCTGGTGAGAGTGGTAACAAGATTCACCATGAAAGTTTTGACAGATGAGGACAAAAAGCCATGGAGTGAGTGAAAGATCAGAAAGAAGGGAGTGTAGAAGGTCTCTGAGGTAGCAAAGCAGTTGTCTTAGAGTAAGGAAGTGAGATCTGTAAGGAAAGGAATGAGAAATATGCATGTGAGGTCAGAGTATGTGTTCCAGATCAGGGATCAGCAAACTTCCTATAAAGGGTCACATAGTAAATATTTGTGGCTTTGTAGGCCACATGGATTCTTGGCTCTGCTGTTGAAGCTTGAGAGCCATCATAGACAGTAAGCAAACAAATGGGCATGGCTGTGTTCTAGTAAAACTTTATTTGCAAAAACAGGTGGTGGTAGTGGTCTCATTTGTCTCAAGGACTGTAGTTTGCTGACCTCTAGATTATGACAATTTCCAGTATGTGAGCAGAGTTAAGTAGAAGTGCATACTAGTAGAAAACAGGGGGCTAAGGTGCTTCAAGATTAGTTTATTGACTACAAACCATCCAGATCGAACAGACATTTAGAGAAAACTCCACTATCAACAGAATATACACTCCTTAAGTGCACAAGGAACGTTCTCCAAGATAGATCACATGCCAGGCCAGAAAACAAGCCTCAATAAATTTTAAAAATATGAAATCATACTGAGTATATTTTCCATTAGCATTGGAGTGAAATTGGAGGGGTGCATGAGTGGCTCAGTCGGTTGAGCATCCAACTTTGGCTCAGGTCATGATCTCACAGTTTGTGGGTTTGAGCCCCATGTCAGGTTCTGTGCTAACAGCCCAGAGCCTGGAGCCGGCCTCAGATTTTGTGTCTCCCTCTCTCTCTACCCCTTCCCTACTTACAGTCTGTCTCAAAAATAAACATTAAAACAATTTTAAAAGAAATTAGAAATCACTAACAAAGAAATTTGGGGAATTCACCAAGATGTGAAAATTAAATAATACTTCTTAATCTGGTGGGTCAAAGAAGTCACAAGGGACATTAGAAAATTCTTTGAAATGATGAAAATGAAGACCAAACATACCAAATATGGGATGCAGTGTTCAGAATGAAATTCATAGCTATAACTTCCTACATTAAGAAGGAAGAAAGCTGTCGAATCAAAAAGCTAATCTTCCATCTTAAGACAGTAGACGTGTAAGAAAAAGGAACAATAATCAAAAGGGTCTGAAATGGGCTAAGGAGATGGAATAGAAATAAAGCCCAGATAGAGGAGAAAAACAATTTCTCTGTAATGGGAGCAGAGGGAAAGTAGGATGGTTTCTGTGTTTGCTGTAAGTGTATAAAGTTCCCATCTTTACCATTTTCATCTGTTTTCTTTGTGAAGCTGGATATGAAGTGACAAAAAGGCATAGAGCTTTGGAGATTTGAAGAATACTCCTTGTGTCGTATGGTTGAAAAAGTCCTTGTATGGATGGAATTGACTAGAGGGAATTATTAAGAATGTCAGGCCATTGAGGATCCTTTTGAGGCTGCCAACAGTGTATTAGAGAGGAACTACTGATCTACCCTGTTGTGTGATGCCCTCAGCTGCACTTGAATATCCTGGGGAAGGCACAGAAAAGGCAAATGTTCGCACTCATATATGGCCAGGATTTTTGTTTGTCAGCGGAGATAGAAAGATATGGGCAGGGAAATTTAGGATGTTGCTTAGTCAGGCGAGATGGAAAGATAAATGGGCAGGGAAAATTAGGATGGTCAATAAGCTAGAGAAGGATGGACGTAAAAGTAAAAAGCTAATGAATAGGGAGCAAGTAGAGGGGTCAATTAAGTGGAGATCATATAGGCAAACCAGCTCCTCAAGGGTAGGGAATCTGTTTTGTTTACTAATGTGCCCCAGCCCTCAGAATATTCGCTGGCACATAAGTGGAAAATACTTGTACTGAATGAATCACCATGGCAGAGCGAGAATCATTTATCAGCAAGCTGGAAGAACAGTAGGTTGTGGTCAGGGTCAGAAGCTTGAATGGAGAGTCAGATGGAGGAGGTAAAGTGTCATGAATGAACATCTTGTATGTCTGACATGCACATGTAGTAGGTTTTTGGTAACTGTTAACCTTTATCATTACTTTCTTTGGCCTGTTACAGGAATTATGTTTAAAGAAATAAAGTAGAGTCGTTTCTCTACAATTGGATGAGTTGACCTTTCCCAAATAACTATCACTTAAAGCCATTGGAACAATCAGGGTTGTTAGATTCTACTTTACCTGGGTGGAATCAACCAACCAAATACTAGTAGGAATTACCATCCTTTCTTTTTTTTTTCAACGTTTATTTATTTTTGGGACAGAGAGAGACAGAGCATGAACGGGGGAGGGGCAGAGAGAGAGGGAGACACAGAATCGGAAACAGGCTCCAGGCTCTGAGCCATCAGCCCAGAGCCTGACGCGGGGCTCGAACTCACGGACCGCGAGATCGTGACCTGTCTGAAGTCGGACGCTTAACCGACTGTGCCACCCAGGCGCCCCATGGAATTACCATCCTTTCATAATCAGCCTTCTAGCTATGAAGGCCAGAAGCCCAGAGTACTTCGAATGCTACGTGTTGTTCTGTTTAGTCTATCACAAGTGTGGACACTTTTATATTTATAGTGCTGTATCACCTTCCTAAAGTTATGTTGACCTTTCAGTGGGCTTTGAAAGGCCTTTTTTTTCCTTGCTTTTAGTACTGGCATAGCTTACTTTCATGAGTTTTTGCTTTATTGCATTTCACAGAATATTGTGTTTTTTACAAATTGAAGTTTTGTGGCAACCCCACATTAAGCAGGTCTGTCGGCACTATTTTTCCAGCAGCATTTGCTCCCTTTGTATTTGTCACATTTTGGTAATTCTCAAGATACTTCAGACTTTTTCATCAGTATCCTAGAACCAAATCTTCAGTACTTCCAAGCTATGCCTGAAGGAGTCTGAAATCTCATTTAAAATTAGGGATGGCTGTTTGCAAAGGAAAAGTTTACAGAAGGAGGCTGAAATGATAATCTTGTTTTTAAACAATGCTGTTGTTTTTCCATTTAGCTTAGTCAAAGAAGTATTTTGATTTTGAGAATTCACATCTTTTCTGAATAACTTGCCGTAGTTCTTACCCGGCACCCAGTAGTATAATTACTCGTACACAGTAAAAAAGTCTGTACTGACTGATCTTTAATTGTAAAATAAGCAGTCCTCTGAAATGCTCTTCTCTCTACTTCTTTGCCTGGTAAATTTCTTTTATGATCTACCTCAAATATCTCCTCTCACATTATCTCCAGTGCTTAACAGACAAATGAACAGGATTCAGTCCTTCGAGTCATTCACACTAATTTCTATTACACTGCCATTATTTATTTGTCTATATGTTCCTGTCCTTGCCTTTTATTTACCAAGGAGCGGGGACTTTGTTTTATTCATCTGAGTGTCTCCAGTGCCTGTGTGTGCCTGCCTTGCAGGACATACTCCAGAATTGTCTGGCAAACGAGTTTGACAGCAAGAAAACACATTTACAAGTACTTTGCAGACTTGGGTTGGAAAACCTTGCCCTCTAAAGGATTTTGCCTCTTTAGGATTTTCTGCAATTAGGATACTGCTGTTAGGTGAGCAGTGATTAATTGATTATGGCTCAGTGATGCAACCAGTAGATGTAATTAACTTAGAGAAAAGTTAGCCTTTTATTCCTATACCAGCTTATTTTAAGTTAAGCATAACACACACTTGATACTCAGTGTAGGTTTGTTAAAAGTACAGACATCTACCAAGACATTAACAAGGGACCATTATTGGTGTGGTGTTTTTTAACTTTTTTCTTTATATTTTTTTCACTCTTTTTATTTTCTATTTCAGTATATATATTGGGAAATATATTTTCCATTTTTAAAAGATATGGTACGTAATAGAGACAAGAAATAAATGCTTTGGTACATTTTGGAACCAATCAGCTGGGTCAAATTGGGCCAGTCCATGATGCTTTGGCAACAAATCTCAGTGGCTTAGAAAAGCAAAAGTTTATTTCCTGAGGGACAGCTGGAGTTCTTTTACACCCAGTGTCTCAGATCCAAGTTTCCTCCACCTCTAAGTGGCTTCCAAAGTTGCTGCAGCCAGGGGAGGGACAGATGGAGGAGACTTGCCAGCTTTCACGAGCTTCAGCACATGTCACTTTGCCGTGGCTAAGACGAGTCACATGGCCCCAAGCTTCCTGCAAAGTACAGTAGAAAATGTAGAATACCAATTGTCTCTAACATGCTATTTGTCACATTTTGGTAATTCTCACAGTATTTCAAGCTTTTTCATTTTATTTTACAGTTACTGTAATGAATGTATGTTGGATCCAGACTGTGGTTTTTGCTACAAGATGAACAGATCAACTGTCATTGACTCTTCCTGTGTTCCAGTTAATAAAGCATCGACAAATGAGGCAGCATGGGGCAGGTATGTCATTTATTATATACCATAAGAACATGAAATAAGCTTTCAGAATGAAACCTTTTTATTACTATATTCCCTATGCTATACATTTCATCTTTGTGACTTATTTATTTTATAACTGGAAGTTTATACCTTTTAATCCCTTTCACATTTCACTCATCCCCTCCAACCAAACTCCCCTCAGGCAACCACCAGTTTGTTCTCTGTATTTAAGAGTCTGTATTTTTGTTAGTTTTTTTTCATTTGTTTGGTTTTTAGATTCTACATATAAATGAAATCAAATGGTATTTGTGTTTCTTCATCTGACTTACTTCACCTAGTCTGATTCCCACGAGGGCCACTCTTGTTGTCACAGATGCAAGATCTCATTTTTTTTTAATATTTGAGTAATATTCCGTTGTGTATATATGCCACATCTTTATCCATTAATCTGTTGTTGGACACTTGGGTTGCTTTCATATCTAAACTATTGTAAATAACGCTGCAGTAAACATAGGGGCGCATATATCTTTTGAAATTAGTGTTTTTATTTTCTTTGGGTAAATACCTCATAGAGGAATAACTGGATCACATGGTAGTTCTATTTTTAATTTTTTGAGGAAACTCCATGTTTTTCATAGTGGGCCGCGCCAATTCACATTCCCACCAACGGTGCACGAAGGTTCCCTTTTCTCCACATCTTTGTGAACACTTGTTAGAGCTTGTCTTTTTGATTCTATCCAATCTGACAAGTGTGAGGTGCTATCTCATTGTGTTTTGATTTGCATTTCCCTGATGATTATTGATGTTGAGCATCTTTTCATGTGTCTCTTGGCCATTTGTATGTCTTCTCTGGAAAAATGTCTGTTTTGATATTGTGCCCATTTTTTTTTTTTTTACATCAGATTGGTTTTTGAGTATTGAGTTTTATAAATTCTTTATATGTCTTGGATGTTAACCCCTTTATCAGATAGATATCACTTGTAGATATCTGCTCCCATTCACTAGGTTGGCTTTTTGTTTTGTCGGTAGTTTCCTTTGCTATGCAAAAGCTTTTATCTCAGGGATGCAAGTGTGGTTTAATACTCATAAACCATTCATTGTGATATATCACATTAAAAAGAGGAAGGACAAAAACCATATGATTATTTCAGTAGATGCGGAAAAAGCATGTGACAAAATACGTTTGTTCATGATAAAAAAAAAAACTTTACACAAAGTGGGTTTAGAAGGAGCATACCTCAAACTAATAAAGTCCATATATGAAAAACCCAGAGCTAACATCATACTCAGTGGTGGAAAACTGAAAGCTTCTCCTCTAAATTCAGGAACAAGACAAAAATGTCCACTCTCACCACTTTTACTCAACACAGTACTAGAAATCCAAATTAAAGTAATCAGACGAGAAAAAGAAAAGGCATCCAACTTGGTGAGGAAGAAAACTGCCACTATTTGCAGATGACATGATACTATAAAGATTCCACCAAGTAACTATTAAAACTGAAAAATGAATTCAGTAAAGTTGTAGGATGTAAAATTGATACGCATTTTTATACCCTAATAACAAAGCAGCAGAAAAAGAAGAAAACAATTCTATATTCAGTTGCCCCCTAAGAACAAAAGCCTCAAAATAAATTTTACCAAGCAGATGAAAGACCCGTACTCCAAAAACTGAGAGACAATGATGAAAGAAATCAAAGATGACATAGACAAAATAGAAAGTTATACCATGCTCATGGATTGAAAGAATTAATATCATTAAAATGTCTATACTACCCAAAGCAATCTGTAGATTCATTGCAATCCCTATCAAAATACCAATTGCATTTTTCACAGAACCAGAACAAATAATCCTAAAATTTGTATGGAATAAAAAAAGACTTCAAATAGTCAAAGAAATCTTTAGAAAAAAGAACATAGCTGGAGGTATCACAATCCCAGATTTTGACAAAGCTGGTCCTGGCACAAAAATACACAGATCATTGGAACGGAACAGAAAGTCCAGAAATCCACGTTTTCTGGTCAATTAATCTATGACAAAGGAGGCAGGAATATACAATGGGGAAAGAGTCTCTTCAACAAATAGTGTTGGGAAAGCTTGAAAGCTGTATGCAAAAGAATGAAACTGGATCGCTTTCATACACCATACATAAAAATAAACTTAGAATGGATTAGACACCTCCTAAATGTGAGACCTAAAATCATAAAATTCCTAGAAGAAAACATAGGCAGTAATCTGATATGAGACTTAGCACTATTTATGGCTATGTCTCCTCAGGCAAGGGATACAAGCAAAAATAAACTATTGGGAGTACACTAAAATAGTAAGATTTTACCCAGCAAAGGAATAGGTCTTATTTTGTTGTTGTTGTTTATTTCTTTATTTTTATTTATTTTATTTATTTATTTTTTGAGAAGAGAGAGAGCATGAGCAAGGGAGGGGCAGAGAGAAAGGGAGAGAGAGAATTCCAAGCAAGCTCTGTGCTGTCAGCACAGAAACATATGCAGGGCTGGATCTCACGAACTGTGACATCATGACCTAAACCAAAATCAAGAGTTGGACGCTCAACCAACTGAACCTTCTAGGCACCCAGGAACAATTCTTACTTTTATTTATTTTTATTTTTTAACAGACTTTTTCTTTTTTGGTTTTATTTTATTTGTTTTGAGAGAGAGAGAGTGAGTGACTGAGGGGAAGAGAGAGAAGGAGACAGGGGGTGGGGGACAGGGGAGGGGAGGGGAATCCCAAGCAGGCTCTGCACTGATAACACAGAGCCCAATGTGGGGCTTGAACTCACAAACCGCTGAGATCAAGACCAGAGCCAGAGTCAGACACTTAACCAACTGAGGCAAGTCTTATTTTTTAAACTTACAGAATGAGTATGTTTATAATCAGTGACTTCAATGACTGCAGTTCTTTTAAACTAGTCTTTTAAACAATCTTTTAAACTGATTTTCATAACAGTATTACTTTCCAGTGTATACTGGTAACAGAAGGGCATGAAACACTGCAGTTGTATGTTACACAAACTTAGAGTAGAAAGCACTCAAGCCTAGACTCCAGGAAATCCAGATTCCAGACCCAACTCTGTCCTAAGCTGTAGGAGTTTGTCTCTTGAGACAAATGTTCCTACATGTTCCAAGGCGATTTCTCCCACTGCACATTGTTTAACTGCACCAGTAATTTTCAAACTCTGAAACTTAAGTAAAAGAGAATTTTGAAGTCAACATGAATATCACTTTAAATTCTTTCATGGAACTGTTGTTGTCTTTGAGTACTTTCCTGGAGTTTAGTGAAATTAAGCAATGTAATGATAAAAGTTGGCAGTCATTGGCATTTAATCAGTCTAGAAAGCTATAAACCTTTCTCTTTTTGACAGATTACATTGTGGTAGGCACATAAATGAAATATTTGTATAGAACAAATATTCCCCACATTTATGAACTAATACATATATCTATGTATGCAGAAAATATGTAAATATTCTTTGATATGGCTTTAACTTCTTATAGTTCTAAATTCCCATAAAAAGAATAATATGCTCTTTTCCTGTCTGCCTCATAGAACTGAAGAAGGCAATGAAATCTGTAAAGTACTTGTAGCTCCTCAAAGCTGTAAAGTATAATGTATCATTATTAATCGTAATGCTGTTGTCATTAATCATTTTATTAGGGAATTACTTCAAAGAAGAAGTAAATTATACAGTATTTGACTCAAAATCCCGACCACATTTTAAATATACTAATTACAAAGAAATATGTAAAAGAAATGCAATTATTACTTAAAATCAGAGCTTGAAAAGAGCTTCTTTTAAAAATACCCAGTGTATAATTTTCATCAGCCAAGCTTCATTAGTGAGTTAATTGATTAAATATTTCTGGATGTAATACTTCACAGTTTTAACCCTTATGATTCTTTTTTCAATAGACAAAAACTGAAAGTTTGCTTGTCTAAAATTATGAATATGTCATGAAATTTATGTCATTTCCTGTACTTTGCAGAATTAACTTTAAAACATATTAGAAATGAATACTAATGATAAAGGAGCACTAAAATTAGGCATTTCTCCTGTCCTCAGTAGAAGGTCTTGAGATCAGAGGCCTCAAAAGAGTAGTTTTGTTCTCACTGTTTGCACATAACAGATTGTACGGGTTCTTAATAGAAATGTATATTATTTCTTTTATGTTAACTTATTCTTACGTGTTATTTATATATTTAGACCATTATTCCTTGATTGCACTCACTACTAGAGAAAAGTGAGGCACAGATTATACGTAGGGAAAAATACAAATAGTTAAACAGTGTGTACAGAGAACTTTTAGGTTTGTAGAATATTCTTAGAATGATCTCAAACTCTACCACTCCCCTTCAAAAAAAAGAACAGGCTTTCTCACTCTTCTCTGTGTTGAGTGACAGGCCTCTTCTAGCTTAGCCACCGTGATTGGCTGCTTCAGTCTGTGCTAGGAAAAAGGCAGTTACCTTGAAAAATTCCTACAACAGATTTTCCATTTATAGGTAAATGACATTCATTATAGTTTTGTTGGTTGATATCTTTTATACAGTGCCTTGGGGTAGAATTCTCAGGGCAAAGTCTACCATTGTCTTGTATTTGCATCTGAGATATACTGTTTATAGATATTTTGGGGTCAAGAATTGGGGAAATTCAGAGCCATATATCCCGATCTCTAACTGTAGCTATTTCCTGAACAGACACCAGCTGGAATAGTAATACCACTCATGATGGAGATAGTATGATGATTTTGGTGAACTCAGAATTGTCTCAAAATAACGAAAACCACTTGCCTGTATAATCAACTATAATAAGCTGTAGGGGTGCCTGGGTAGCTCAGTCGGTTAAGTGTCCGACTCTCGGATTCAGCTCAGGTCATGATCTCATGGTTCATGAGTTCGAGTCCCGCATCAGGCTCTGCACTGATGGCACTGAGCCTGCTTGAGATTGTCTCTCTCCTAATTTCTCTGCCCCTCCCTGGCTTGTGCTTTCTCTCTCTCTCTCTCTCTCTCT